AGTTTACCTAATCCCGTGCACGAGCAACACCGGTCTCTCCTCCTCCATAAGGGTCTTTCTATCCGTCGTTCCCTCCTTCATTTCAGCCATTAAAAACACCAAGGAGCCTTGTAGCCAGAGCATAAAACAGGTCCCCCTGAGCCCCCATCTTCTCTCCGCCGACGTTTGAAGTACACCAAGGTGCTCAAGTTAAGCYGAGCCTGGGAAGCAGGGCTTCCCTGCCTGGGCTTCCATACTCCACTCATCAGCAGGGCTAATTAGTGCCACTTTGCCAGCATCGTTAGGCAGCCCCCGGYGTGGCTTTGCCTCCACCACCTCCTACCTAGGAGGAATTACTGACTTTCTCTGCTGCCTCGATCATGTCCCATCACATCCCGTCCTCCTGCGCTGCCGAGCAAACCCAGGTTATTCTCATTTATTATACAGCTCTCAGTGGTTTCTGAAGAGCCATACTGCGGGAGGAAGGTGGCTCCATGCTTGCAGAAAGGAGGCWGTTCAACACCCAGCAGCACCCAACCATATTTCCTATCTATCTCCCAGCCTTGCTCCCTGGAGGATACAGCCCTACACGATCTCTGTGAAGCAGATCACAGGCTGGTGAATTTTCACATACTGGAAAACCCAGTTGTTCCTCATTCTCCATTTGTGACAACCCTCCAGCAAAAGTGACAGTCTGGGAGAATTGTTAAGAGCAGAGAAAGGAAAAAAAAATAGCAACTTATTTTAATTATCCTACACGCAAGCTCTAGTCTTTCCTAGTATTTGCCACTGGAGAGAAGAGCTCACTTGAAGAGAGGGGATGAAAATAAAGTAATTAAAATAATAGCTTTAAGCCTAGCTGAGATAATAAATGACAATGCAGTCGAATGGTAATGCCGTGTTCTTGGCGGGCATGTAGAGCTCAGCTCCGAAGTCTTGCTCCAGTGAGCAGATCTCTCCCCAAAGGTTTGTCCTCTGCAGCTACGAAAAATGTATGAGATACAAAAGGAGTTTTGAAAATCCCTTGCTAGGACTAAATTAGTTTGGTCAACAGCCGTGTCTGACCTCCTTCTCCTTTCCCAAGGACTGACAGGCTTTCACTTTCTCATCTTGAGGAGGGGATGCAAAGCCCTGTTTTCTCTTGGCAAGCCATGACTAGTGACCCTTGTCTTCCCAGCTGGGCCATCAGGGTAGCAAGTGGACATGCCACAAGCAGGGGGAGGTCTGAACACCACCGCAGGTTGGACAAGTCCTGCAAAACTGCTTAGTCCCTCCGAAACAAGCCAGAAAGCCAAAGAGCACAGTGGGGAGGTGGAGCCTTTTTGGAGAAGAACAGCCAGCAGCAGAGGTGATCCTGCCACACACAGTCCCCAGTCTCCTGAAGACTTCAACGACGTCAACCATCATCTCACAGGCTCACATTTTGCAAAACTTGTGCTTTGCATTACTTTGCTTTGCAAACACTCATGCACACAGACACCCATGCATGCACACCTGCGCAAGCACTGCCTGCACCCACTGCCTGGCCAGTGCAAGGACACCCACATCCCAAGCCAGAAAGGCACAGCTCATGCCAGCAAAAGGTTCCAGGGCTAAAGCACCATCTGCAGACTTCATCAGCTCAATAGTTACCCAAAGACTCCTGTTAACACTGACCTGCTGCCTTCGGGGACGCTTGAGCACCCAGGTGAGGGACGTCCCCACCACACATCCCTGGAGCCACCTATTCCCACTGCAGCCCACTTACCACATGCTCAAGGGCAGAGTTATAAATGCTGTTTCAAAGCACCAGAAAAAGCTGGAAAATGTGGGTCACAAAAAGTACATTTCATCAGCCCAACCTCAAGAACATTTCAGCCCGTTATCCTTGAAACTGCAGCTTTTTAAGACTTTCCGTTTTCAGTGACATTTTCCTTCTAAAATTGATTGATATCCTTGGAGAAGGTAAGAAAGTAGTTAAATTATTCTCCAAATACAACTTTCCAGGTGAAAAAATGAAGTTTTCTAAAGCCCTGTTCTGCCACTGAACCAAATATATATATATATATATATATGCACACATGCACCCGCACATAAATGTATGTGTGCTGATATATAATTCACACAATTGTAGTATCACTCATATTAGCAGCACTGTATCATTACCCCATCACTCTTCAGGAAACTTTCCCATAAAGCCTTGTTGAAACTTCCGGAAAAAAATCAGTTAAAAACAGTGGAAAGGAGGGAAGCATTAGTGGCGGAGAGAAAAATATCACTTTATSATGACTTTTAAGCAAGGTCTTTGAATGTGATATGGCCAAGAACTACTGAAATATGTGACGCTCTTTAAGCATTTTCGCTGCCAGATGAAATAACCAGCAATCATGTGGGTTACAGCACAATCCATGCACAGCAAGGAGCCTCCTCTAGCTCTCCAACCTTGTTGGAGCTACGGGCCTTTTCCCAGGAAAAGGAGCAGCAGACAGGACCCACCTCAGGTAAGGATACTCAGGATGCTAAGGATGAATCTTGGAAAGCACTAATACATTAAATGAGGTTCAGGTCTGCAGCAAGAGCACTGATGCTGTCCCATGGTCACATATGTTCATACGCCACGGTCACTAAGGATGATAGACCTTGCTGACCATGCCACATCATYAACCTCCTCCAAACGCTTTCCATGCAGCCAGGGACAAAGAACCAGCTTCATTAATGGCCTCAGGCTATTTCTGGACATCTCATTTCCGTGAAGCATCCTACKCATTGCACCTTGTTGACAAGGTGCCTCGCTAAGGGACCGTCATTCTGCAAAGCAAAACACAGCCACGATCATCCTGCATCATTAAACCAACCCTCATTTTCCCTTCAGCAGCCCATGTTTCCTCCTTCTCAGCATCTCCCCAGGTAGAGCAAATCAAAAAGCTAATATAGACATTCACTCCGCCTGCTCCAGGAGGACCGTTCCTAAAAATACTCTACAAAATTGAATCAGCATCTTGTAATTTAGTAAGTTAAAGCAATTATTAATAATCAACAGGAGCATAATTTTCTTCATCTAGAGCTACTCCAGCTGTAACGCAATTTCAATAGCAAACTCTTTTGCCCACTAAGCAAACATGATGAACACAGAGAAAAACGCATAAAAAAAAAGGAATATCAAAAGTAGCTTTAAAAATAAACTAGCTTGTCCTTTTTATGAACAATTTTAATTCCAACGGCCTTTGGAAAGAAACTAAATTTGCCCCCATCTTTCACAGTGAAGTGGAAAATGTCAAAAAAAAAAGAAACAGAGGTCACTCACATGGTATTGCAGTCTGTCATTTAATTGCCCTGTGTAAAAGTCCCTGCTAATTATCAGTAAGTCAATAATCTATGTGACGCTTAAGCAAAGTCAGCAGAAACCATTTGGAAAATAGCAGGAACCTACTAGAGAAAACCAGCCTGGGACCAGGGACTCCCACCAGTCTCAGGGCTAAAGCCCAACAAAAAGTATGTTGAGGTGTTTATCTTCATTACCATGCCATTTATAGCAAGTCTCACCATGAAATGGGTTTTCTGGAGACCAAGATTAAAAAAAACTGAGGAATGTTTTCTTCCCTCGGTTTGATAAGTTTGCTGTGGGTGTCTATGCTTTCTGAATCAATAAACAAGCCCCGATTCACGCAAAGATATAACTTGGAAGCGTGACCAACTCGTTGCTTTTTCTTCCAGCCAAGAACAGCAGATGCTCCACAGCTCTGTGGAAGCAGGGGAACTTAATGGGTATTGATGACGAGATGAAGCCAACTTGGCAAAATTAAAACATGAGTGAATTGCTGGGACTGCCCACGTGCAGGAGCTGCTAAGCACAGTCCTGGTCACCACAGAGTCATTTCACATCCCTCATCCCAACCTTGGCCACTCCAGCCTGTTCCCAATGCAGCCGGTGCGACGAGGAGATGCTCAAGGAGAAACATTTTGGTAGATACTACGGCTGCCTCATTTCACGTACACCCATAAAAATATTTTAAAGTTTTCTATTTCCTAACCCCTGAAGTTGCATTGCTCATTGATTTATTGCTACAAGAACCGAAGACAAGTCCTGCATTGCACTACATGCTAGGTACAACACCTGTACTTGCAGTGGAGCCATGGTAGTCAAGACCATGGTAGTCAAGACCAGTCAAGACCATCTCGGTCAAGCAGACATAGCAAAATATGCAGCTTAGTCTCTTCTGCAATATGCTTTCTACGTACAATGTACATACATTTAGTAGGGGCAGGTGGTCAGAAGACACTCAAAGTCCTTGGGTGGCTCTGCTTCACACTGGCCCACAAATATGAATATGGTAAGCCCTCAATTTTCAGGGAAAAAAATGAATTTAAACTAGTTTTGGATTGTTCTGGAGTACAATTGGATGATTAGGAACAACTCTATAGAGACCCACTATGCAGCCCCACTATCCAGCCTTGGATTCACCCAGGCCAGCCTCAGTTTTCCTGGTGTCCGGAAGCAACCAGGGAATCCACCAGGCTATTATTTTTTTAAGCATTTCCTGGGCAACTTCTTATTTGAAACTGGATTCTCTTTTCATGTGCTGTTTTGGACAGAGATTTTCTCTCTAGAGGAATTAGAGTCAYATTAGAATGACTCAAAGCTGACTTTAATTTATATTTACAAACAGCCTCGCTATTCACGCTTTGGAGGACTGGCTCCCCTCAGAAAGGAGAAAAGCTCCATCCTGCACATCCATGCCCACGCGCAGCTGCTGCCCACTGGCAGGGAACCCCGCAGGACACCAGGGACCCCACGCTCGGCYGGCACCACGAGCCACCTCAGCGCTGTGTGGGTGTCAAGGAATTCACAAGCATCTCAGATCCCACCAAAGAGAAACAGGGTCAGAGAGGGTGGTGAGGGGTGTGTGGCAGAGGCAGGTACAGGGCCGTGAAATTTTAGGTCAGGGAAGTCAGCATTAGTGGCAAATTAGTTTGTTTCGTTAATTTGACAGCACAGCCCGGCCTGAAAACATGGAAGGGCAGGCCCCATGTGAGCTACTTACTTGGTGTTGTCTGAGTCAATGGTGTGAAAGAGCTTCTCCAGTTCCTCCTCATTGAGGGTCCCATCAGAGAAAAAGGCTTGAAACTCCTCCAGGGACAGCTTCCCATCATCTGCAAGCAACAACACAGCAGGCATTAGGGACACGGGCCAGCAGGGCCACCCACACCCAAGACAAGCTCGTGCAGGGGACCTCGAGGTGGGGGACAGCCCCAGGCCCACACACAGCAGGATCTCATTGTGGCAGACACAGCCTTTTGCTCCGTGTGTCCAGAGGATACAGGATGCTCATGAAGGATCATAAACCACATGGACATGTACCAAGGACTTCCCAAATCTGGACAAGATGGCAATATAGCAGCCATGGGACACAAGACTTCAGCTGTCTCCTGTTTAACGACACAAGGGCTGTGTCACCTTAATATTGTGCCTTTTCTTCTAAAGGGACTTGATGACACACCAAGTCCATCTGCTTGGCCATACGGCCAAGCATATGGGTGCTTCTTGGCAGAGGCACCTGAAAGCAAAGGAATGACAAGGCAGAGGTTGAGTGAAGACCTCCCAAGCATCGGCCACTCACATACTGACTTGCAGTGATTTCATTAGCAAGCTCCACGTGGGCTACTCATTTGGTCTGCAGAGGTTTCTCCCTGCAGACAGTCCATGCCTGGAAAAAAACCTCTACTCGGTGTCTACAAATCTGAAAATTTGCCCTTAAACTTTGCACGTACATCCTCCGCTCTGAGAACAACCCTTGCCTAAAGATAAGGAAAGAGGGTGGGTGTTTCCAAGCCCTCCCAGTTAACGAAGATGCCACACATCTTCATTACTGGGTGGACAAGCATCCCAGGGTCGCAAGCTCCCTAGCACCTTTCCACTCACACGCACAGAAGAGAAGGTACCTGGCCTGGAAATGCCACTTACTTTGCAGCAGAAGCCTCATTTATTATTTAATCCTATCAATTAGAAACCCTGTTGCTTCTCTTTCAGAAAGCAACAGTGGAAGACAAAACCGGCCACCTCTTCCCACACTTGTCCATATTTCCTCTRCAACTAAGTCAGCCTGCTGCTCTTAAAACACACCTTCATGGCCAAAAGCCAGCCTGCTTTTCCCTACCCGACACAGAGGAAGTCAGAAGAGTGACAGACTGAGCCCAGGCCACCTCTGTAATTGGCAGCCACGACAACCTACCCATCAGGAGAACAAAAACCACAACAGCAATGGATGGAAAGGGCGTGATTTCCAGAGCAACACAATGTTTATAGAGTGTGCCCAGCTGCCTGGGCTGCTTTTCCATATTTCCTTGGAGCTGAGGGTAGGCAAGGCAAAGGCAGGTAGTTAAAACCAAGTGCACACAGGGCCAGCAGTCATCACGTTGGCTCTTCAAGGTGCAAGAGTAGATCTACAGAGAAAATAGGCAATGGCAAAGCTCTTCTGTAGCACTTAAGAGGCAATCTTCTAGTGATGGAGGGTGACAAATTCAATACTATTCTTTAAGCACCGAARGCTTCCTGAAGCCTGGAATACAAATAGTTTGTGGTTCATAACATCAAGGAAGAACATCAAGCAGTGGAGGATCTAGAAGAAGGAAGCAGCAACAATAAATTCCACTTCATTTTTTTCCTGGAGACCTCCCAGAGGTGGCTGCCTCTTGGGAGGAATCTGAATAGGAAGAGCGCAGGTCTGAGCAGTAAACACTGCTCAAGGTTTTCATTCCCCAACAAATAAGAGCATAGAGTGCCAGGCAGCTTAAAGTCGATCACTATTTAATACGAGCTTGACTCCTTGGCTGCAAACACACAAAGAAAAAGCATTTCAGAGTAACAAAATAATCCTTGAGCTACATATCTGCAGCCTCAAAGCAGCCTTGAAGCGGGTCATTGCTCGAGCCTAGAAGACAGAGGAGCCTTCAGGGAACGGGTGATAAGAGGAAGCAGACAGGGCTGGAATTTGAAAGTTAAAATTAAAGGAGCAGAAAATCCGGTATAAAGAGGATTGTCCACAACTTGACTGACACGCAGGTTGGAAAGCCAGTGCACATCGTGATAAGCACTGATGCAGCCCGGAGACACAGCGCTCCCGGAGCAGCCTTATCTGGAAACTTGCAGAAAAGCTATTTTTTTTTCTCTAAAAGCAGAAACTTCTGCAGTTCCAAAGGCCAGATAAGACTTTCCAAAACTGTCTTTTTGCCAAAAGTGCCTGGGTGCTGGAAATACCAAAGGAGTTGGCATATGTTGTACTGGAGCAGTCATTGCCAATCATATGGCTCAGCAGAGCCCACGTACTACTCTCCAGGAGCTGGTTCGGAGACATTTGTCTTAAAATAARCATCTATTTGTACTTTTGATAACATTTATAGGGTATGGAATATCATTTTTTTTCCTATCTCATAAAAGAAAACAAAGAATTCTTCAATTTCAAGTTCTAAGGAAGTAATTGAGGTCTTTTAATGCCTTTTTAGCACATTAAAAACCTAATCACCTGCTCAGCTCCCCCTCTAAGTCCAGTAAATACTTCAGCTGGCAGCTCAGACAAACCATGGACTATGACTTGCTGATATTGCAACTAATAACTGAGAACAGAGAGCCCCAGCTGGGACGTTATTATCGTCACTTTGCCACGAAAAAATAAAATCTGAGGAAGTAACAGGCAGCTTTATAGATTGCTCTCACGGTCAAAKGCAGCAGGGGGAAAGCAAAGCTAAGATCATAAATTGTCCAAAATGCAGCTAATTTGATGGCTACGTTTTTGGAAATTYACTCTGCAGCAGAAAAGGCTTAATGCAGCTACAAGATAATGTGACTTTTCTGACTGCAATTTCACTAAGTCTATGTAAAATTATATCAAGTTGACACTGCTCATATATTATCTAGCTATATTATGAACATATTTTATTTATTTTTCACTACCGTGTACACTCTAAAACACTTTTGTCCTTGCTTAGCATTCAAGTATCATTATCYGGCTATATTATAAACATATTTTATTATTCATTTATCACCATATGAGCTCTAAAATACTTTCAACCCTGCTTAGGGTTCAGGCACCAGACCTATTGGATTATTGCGGCTTTTGGAGAARAATGACAAATAATTTTTCTATTTCTAGGGGAAAACAAGGGTGAACGTGCAATTATCCATACTTCACATTCAGGTGGTTGGGTACATTTTGAGCTCTCCGTAGTGAGATTGTCCCAGTGGGAATATCCAAAGCCAGTGGCCCACAGCTCATCTGTCCCATTGCCCATGCTGCAGTTCCAACCTCAGCTGTACCCAAAAAACACCCATTTAGGGACCCAAAACTGCACTTCGAGAAGCAGCTGGAAGGAAAAGCCACACTCAACACARGAGGAAACAGGATGCAGAAGCAAGCAGGCTCCTCAGCTAGGAGAAACCCTTCTGACTTGCCACTTCCAGAGGAATCCAGAGTGTTGGGATTATTTGTTCTTTTCTTTGACCATTTATTTTCAGGGAAAGGGGCACTGCAGCCAAACACCTCGATCCGCTTCCAAAAAACACCCGTAGGATCATTTTTGGAACTGGGACTCAGCRTCATACAGCAGCCAACTTGAAAAACACCCACCTACTTTCACCCTGTATCGCAGTGTTGCTTCAGGGGCAACCGAATTTTCTTGCAATCAGGCCTGGAAACTTATCTCCAACTCCGGATAAAGCTGTGAAGCTCCAGCAAAGCCATAGGGTGCTGTGTTAGAAGAGCATCTCACACAGCTGGGTCTCCTCACCACTGCAGTGAGGCGCCCTCCTGCAAACATCTTCGCTAATGAGAAGCGACACACATCATTAAAGGGAAATTATTAGAATTACAGTAATTTTCTAGTGGAAGGAAACTGCTGAACAGCTCCAAGATGACTTTGGTGGGCGTATAAATGGCCTAATCTGCAGCCCAGATGTTTTCCCAAGGGATGGCAGCACATCACTGGGTACCCATGGATAAACTGAGACACAGCTTGACATTGTCATCACCCACACTTAAAAGAGCATCAGCTGAAGATAAGGTCAATGTCTGCTGACTTGGGTGCAAGGTATCTGCATACGGGTGTTAGCACAGGCCTTTTGGATTTTGGTCTTTCCAGCCTTATTATCTTCCCTTCCCACTTTCAGAGCAGGCTTGCAAAGACATAAATTGCCCATAGCAAATGAAAGATCATCCCTTAAAAAGCCAATCAACACCCCTTGCGAGTCATTTAGCCTAGTAACAAAGATTAGCTCGTTTTTAGCAACTTGAAGATACTTCTCTAGTATGAAAGCATGGAGTTCAAATGAAATACTAGGGCTATTTCATTCTTTTGCTTCATGCCATGAAGCAAGTGATCCAATTTTGTGCTAAGACTGGAAGTTTATTTAAAATCCTTCATAAAGCAAGACAGAATCTCCCTTTTGGACAAGGGTTAATCTTTCCAACGGAATTAAAAATAAGAAGAGAAGCACTTCCGCTTCAAAAAGACCACATCAGACAGCATAAGAYATTAAATAATAATCTAAAGACCAAATTTTACCTAGCATTTTGAGGAACGCTGCACATAGCAAGCCGAGTTTGGCTGGCCAGCTTCCATAGGAAACTTGGCCTGGGAAAATAAAGATTTCCATTGTGGTCAGAAACCTCATCCTTGTTCTCAGCGGAAACAACTCGAGCTTCCAGCAACGCCCATCGAGATGCCCGAGTTTCCATCAAGCCGCTCAGCTTTTTATCTTCAAATCAAGCCTTTTGTCATGCCAGATTTGGAAGAATTATATTTAATAGCAGCTATAGATAGATACCAAATGTAGGCTGGTAGGCAGGGAGACAAGACAACTGACAAAGCACCTCCTCTCCCACAGTCTTTTGGAAGCTTTATTTCTTTCAGTTTTCCAGATAAGCCTCACCCTGCAGTAATGACCTGATTTAAGTGTTTTTCTTCTGTGCTCACCCAATCTATAGGCTTTCGATGCTGTATCGCAGCTATTTCCGAATGTCTTCCAAAGAAATTCCTGCTCCCCAGTGAATTAAACGCATGGAGCAAACTTGGCCGGSGTACAAATAGGCTGCCCAGATTAAATAGAGCTTTCGCTTAATAGAGCCGCTAACAAATGCTACCTGAACATTTAGGGCATG